TTTTGATATCCAGTTCACAGGAACATCATCCTATCAGCAACTATGAATTTTGCCGTAGCTACGAAGGGATCTTACCAATTCATCGCGTTAGAAATTCGGCGACGGAAACACCGGCCGCGCGGGAGTTTACAAGTATAGATCCCGAACCCGAGCCGAACGGGCTCTGGTGGAGCCCGACCCAGCGAAGATATAACCAAACATCTGATTTCCCATGGGTAACGCAAATCAAATCAATTGCTCCTCAATGTCAATTTCAATAACATTTTATCTATATATCTTCGGGTTCTTCACCCAAAGCCCGATTCACGTCGGAAATGACACATCCTCCAATCACATCGGGGCCTGCGTCCCAGGCTCAACAATATGGACCGGCAGAACTTGAGAGTCAACAATCAACGGACGACACGATGGCCAAGAAACCCCGGGCCAATCAAAGGCTGCGCAAATATCTTTCGGAAAACATTCGTGAGGATGTTGTGCTCGAAGCGGAACTGCTTCTACTGGCATTCGCAACCGGCATCCAGGATGCAACCACGTTTCCAGACTATTCTTGCTTTGCCTCCAATCAAACCGGCAATACGGTCCTACTGGCTGTTGGAGTAGCCGGTGTTTCTGGAGACTCTTTCTCTATGGAGAACATCGGTGTGTCTCTGGCGTTGTTCGTGGCGGGGAGCTGGAGCATGGGTCAAATCGGACATCTCGCAGGGTCTCGGAAGAGATGGTGGCTCATCTTCAGCTCTGTGATTCAGACGGCTATGATATTCGCGGCATCCGGTCTGCAGTATCGTTACGGAGTTGGAGAGAAAGATCGCAGTATCACGTTGGGTGCTATCTCTTTGCTGGCGTTCTCATCTGGTGGGCAAGTCGTCATGGTGCGTGCGTTGCAGATGACTGAGATCACGACGGCTATGGCGACTGCTGCATATGTGGATTTGTTCCTGGATGTCAAACTTTTCGGGAAAGTGAATCGGCGGAGAGATAGGAGGGTCTTGTTCTTGTTGAGTCTGGTTGCGGGAAGTTTCGCTGGCGCTTTTGCATATGCGAGAGTAAGCTCGCCGTTTGCTTTATTAATTTCAGCGGTTGGAAAATTGATTGTTACCGTTGCTTTTATTCTGAATAAGAAGATGGATGTTAAAAGCGACTCGGAAGTAGTAGATTAGTAATTTGGACAATGAGATTGATTCAAAAGTCGCTCTCTCAATATCTCAAAACTTGAGAATTGGTAAACTTGTCAAATGGCCTGGGTAATAGGAATGAGAAGGGGGTTTTAATATATATTAAGAAAAACCATTAGTCACCATCAATTTATACCATCAGTAACATCCTTCTACCAAAGGCAAGATTGCGCATTATTGAAGAGCCAAGGGATGTCTTTCTCAAGATTAGGAAATTCCCAAGATGTATTTAATAGGAGCAATTTTCGTGGTGGGATTTGTTCATGAAGAGGCTATCGGATTTAGTTTAAATTTTAGACTTTGCTCAAATGTAGTAGAATCAATACTGTCCTCGATAAAAGTGTTGTTTTGAGGTTCACTCAAGAAAGGGGAGATAGGATAGGGGCAACCACGCTAATTTAGCGCCTCGGTTAAATTTGGCATTCCGTGTTCCGCGAAGAATTTTGATCTGAGAACATGATATCCACAACAAGGAACAGAAGCGTTCAATGCTGAGCCTCCAAAGGACGAGTTCGTCTCTATTGAACAAGGCTTTACGAAAGATTATTATCCCAAGCAGAAGCTCTCCTAAGGTGCTGTATCGGAGTCGCAATCGAGTTCGGCGTCACCTGACGATGGACGAATCAAGAAATGTGAGTGGCTCTGACGTATTGCATCGGGCGAACATATTCTGATCCGTATACAGAAAGATCATGATCATGATACGCATGCGATACCTCCACAGGCTATCTGTAATATATATAAGAAGTATCAACGCATGGATGATACGGCCGTAGACGAAGATCTCAACGTCATCGATTTCAGCAGAGGCTTGACAGATACGCAAAAGGGGAAGCTGGCCCCAGCAGGAACCGTTGAGGCGGAATTGATTGCGAAGGCCCAGAAGACTTTCAAATTCTACGGAAAGGAGGATGCGAACGGCTCTCCAGAGCCAGAGTCGCTCCCTACGCCGTGTACGGCCTACGAGCACAAGGGTTTCCCAGGTGAGTGAATGCTGGGCTCAGGACAACACCCCTTGACTAAGTTCCTTCCAGGTTTACGACTTTATCCTTCTCTTCTACCTCCTGAGTGCCAGGTCATGATGATGAACTCCGTCATGCATCGCGACCTTGCAAACCCTCTTCACAAAACAAACATGCACCCCGATTACAAAATACCCTTCCCGTCCTCCACATCGCCTACTGGCTCGTTCTTTGGCTACCCACCTCATTCCAAACACGAGGTCTATACACCCCTTAATCCAGACTCTCACCACAAACAGCTCAACACAACACAATTCCTCTCGAAGAAGCTTCGTTGGCTCACTTTGGGTTCGCAATATGACTGGACCACTCGTTCCTACCCCACGACGTCACCAACCCCTTTCCCTCCAGACATCGCATCGCTAGTCACTACCCTCTTCCACTCTTCATTCACTCCTGAATCGGGTGTCGTTCTTCTTTACAGTACGAAAGATTATATGCCCGTTCACCGCGATGTCTCCGAACAATGCGATCGTGGTCTTGCGTCGTTCAGTTTAGGATGCGACGGTCTCTTCATCCTCTCTAAAGATCTCAAGAACGATGGAGAGGACGTGGATGAAGATAACGAGGACCGTGAAATGGAAATGTGTGTTCTGAGAGTGAGGAGTGGAGATTGTGTATGGATGAGTGGAGAGACCAGATGGTGCTGGCATGCTATGCCCAAAGTTATGAACAATACTTGTCCATCTTGGCTTGAGGACTGGCCGGCCGAGAAGGGAGGTAGAAAGGAATTTGAGAAGTGGAAGGGATACATGAAAGGGAAGAGGTTGAATCTCAGCTGTCGACAGGTTTGGGGATGATTGATGGCTGATACTCTACAACTCATCGACAATACCCCACACTCGAAGACATATGCACCAGAAGATTGAACGAGACACCCCCTTCAAACTAGGCCACTTCAGGAAAATACTCCAAACAACCCACAAATTCTCAAACTCCTCTCAAGCTCAAAAACCCATCATAGGCGACACTCACCACCACTCACCCCTCAGCATTCGTCAATTCCTTCTCATTTCGCCCTAAGACCGACCTCCTCTCCACATCCTGATTCGTCGAATTATGCTCATTCGTCAAGCCATACAACCTCGCAAACGGATCATCAGTCGAATTCGTATGCCTAACATACTCCATCATATTCACCACCTGCACAGCCGCCTTCTCAGAATACACACTCGCGATCCACGCAATCGCAACATCGATGCCAGCTGACACCCCAGACGAAGTCCAGATATTCCCATCGACGACCCATCGTGCTTCCGCAACCCATTTGACCCTCGGTCCCATGGTTGGCGTTTGTGCCCATGCGAGTTTATTAGATATCGCTCTCTTCCCATCGAGAACGCCGGAGCGCGCTGCAAGCCACGAGCCCGTACAGGTCGTGATGAGGTATTGTAGGCTTGGGTATCGGGTTTTGATGAATGCGATTGCTGGGTCTAGCAATGGTGCTGGAGCACGGGTTCCGAGTCCGCCGGGGACGATGAGGACGTCTAGCTCGGGTGCGGTATCAAAAGTGTGGGTTGGGAGCACGGATTCGCCGAATGTGGAGTTGATGGGGTTCTTCCACCATGATGTCTTCTCTGTGGCGACGGGGTCGAGTGTCGTGGAGAGGAGAGCCAAGTTGATGGTGTATTGCTGCCCGAGAAGATTGAGAGCATCAAGAGGTCCGAAGATATCGAGTGCTTGGAAGCCTGGAAAAAGAATGTATCCGAATCGAACTGGGAAGGGGCCGATATTTTTTTGCGAGTTTACTGCACCAGCGAGGAGCAGGATTGTGACGACTAGAGATTTTGTCAAATACATGACTTCTGAATTTCCAACACCTGAAAGAGAAAAATTCAGACAACTATGATTGCCATATCATTAGATCAGATTGCAGTGACAAGCCATTCATTTATACTTTCTCAGAGAGGTCCTGATGAGCTCGTTCCACAACTACCCATCCAGACTCACGATATCTCGTGACGACCCCCGGATAATGTTGACACGAACACGCGAGTTCCATTGGTTACCGGACCGAAAATGCACTCACTCACTGTGTAAAACAATCAAAGGCAGTTCCCGTGCCACGAATTGCGGGGTATGAGGGGCATTGAGCATGTTTTCGTTTAAGAAGTGGCTTGACTGTTAATCCGGTTGGATATCATGAGAAGATCGGGCGGGAGCTTCAATCACGTCGTTAATTCGAATCTTAAGATCCTTTCTAGATCCTTTCGGACGATTCTCAATTGTCGTATAACTGCTTACTTAGTATGGTTATTTGGACGTTTGAAATGTCGTGTTCGTGGGAGCCGCGATAGACCCAACCATCTCCAAGTGAGAGGGGTTTCTTATACTCGATTCTTCTGCAGTAAAAGTGCACTGCTTTGCAATTTTCTCACTTCTTACCCCATAAATTCGCCAGCGTCATGAATTTTACTGCTTTGAGTATGGAATGAGTACACGTATTCGGGTAGTGTGCCTATTTAAGTACGCCAAATACGTTGGCTGAGAGAAGTGACTTGAGGTTCCCTATTGCTGCGAGATCACCAGCGGTTTGTAAATGTTTTAGGACTCCCCTTACCATTCTTTTTTTATTTTTAAGCTAAAGACAATAGATGAATATTCACTTTCCTTTTTCCATTACTGGTTTCCTCCAATAGCAAGTAGGTAGAAAGTGAAAAGTAACAAAGACACCCCGTTTGCCCGGCCACCCGCAGCATCACGTCACACCCTAAATCCTCCTTCTCAATCTTCCGCAATGTAGCCGTATTCATGTACAGTATCATACAAGTAGCCAATTAACCATCTCACAGTATCTATGTTAGGTTTCTTGGTGCAGTGGCAGCACGCCTCCCCTGCTTGTATTATTAGGAGGAGACGCAAGTTCGACTCTTGCAGAAGCCCTTAGAAAGCGAGACTCGAAATCAGTGGAGAACGGTTTCGAGTTTATTCTTTTGGTCTCGCATATAATCTTATTTTTGATTCCTTGTTTGCTCTCTTTTCTGATCTTTGGTTTTCATATGCTTTTCTATTGCCGGACCTGGTTGGGCATATCTGTTTGCTTTTTTGGAACAGAGAGAGGATGGAGTGGGAAGCCAAAGAGCCTGAGAAAGCTAGTCAAAAATGCAGGAGCAACACCATGTTGGATTAATGCAACAAAAAATCTGACTGTACATCTTCTCTCCAAAACCACAGAGGTCAATACAAGAGAAAACAAAACATTAATTATAAAATCCAGAAACAGACATAATTATCAAATCTCGCTGACAAATTTCGTCTCCACCCTCTAGCTCCACCCCGTTCATCACCAATCTCAGCCTCCCATCATCCCAACCGAACCCTCTTTAAACCTACCTCTCCTCCACACATGCCCACCTACCTACCTATCAGAAGCACACCTCCAGACTTTCCTTTCCCATACATAAAGATTGACATATGGAGACCGAGTTTACTAAGCAGCAGAAACAATCCAGGTCCCGATAAGGGGAACTGCATTCAAGATAGAAGCATTACGGGAAGTGGGTGTTCCCGCTTTGTGGCATCCTTTGTAACTTCGTAAGAGCCCGGGAACTGCTACTAGGCTATGTTTATCCCAGGTCCCCGACCACACTATCAGTTAGAAGGTGGACCTGCCGCTTGCCCCAGGACCAGGAATCCAATAAGTAGTACTAGAGGGCATTGGCGAACTCTATGGATGGCGGGCAAAGTGAGACAACTATCCCTTGCATAGTGACTGGCCTTAACTGAGTTTTTTTATTTTTAGCGGAGTCTATTTCCAGCTGTGCACCCTGGCTGGTTCGAAGATACCGCTGCTAGGCGAAAAGTTCCCCAAACCACACATCATCTGGCGAACGCTGCTGCTGCTTTGCTACTTGCGCTCGCTGGCCTTATTCTTCTCAACTTTTGAACCCAATGGTTAGCAAGGCTGTCCACGAAACCCTCGCAGCATTCGTTCGTCGCTGAACGCGACCGGGCGCAGTTCCACACGAAGAACTTGCAGACGTACTCACCTACTGTCTCCTTCTCGCTGATCGCATCGGAGCCCACCCTGAGCAGATCGTGCTGGAGAAGCTAGAAATCACGCACAAAAAGTATCCCGTTGACACAGCTCGAGGAAGCAGCAAAAAGTATGATGAAATTGGCACGGCTTGAATTCTCCCAAACAGCCGTTACAACGTGGAAGTTCCATGACGAGAAACATGGCAATTGGCCTGTCGTGTATGTATTGGATGACGGCAATGCTGCTGGACACGCCAATTCGAACAAGCTGAAGGACATCTACGTTGGAGAGACGCTCAATGCCGCCAGCCGAATGCATCAGCATCTCAAAACGCCTGCGAAACAGCACCTCAAGAACATTCGTGTCATCATCGATGAGAGATTCAATAAGTCGGTTTGCCTTGACTTGGAGTCTTACCTTATCAAAATGTTGGCCGGCGACGGTGCTAACCGGGTGCTCAACCGAAATAACGGCATCACGGAAACGCAGTACTATCAACGCGAGATGTACCGCGAGGGTTTTCGCAACATTTTCGAACGGCTCAAGGCGGAGGGCGTTTTCACGCGAAGTATCCCCGAAATCGAAAACAGCAACCTTTTCAAGTTGTCGCCATTCAAAGCGCTAACGGAAGATCAAGCCAACTCGGTGGAGGAAATCGTCAATGGGCTCCTTATTGATATCGAGAGAGGCAGCAAAAGCACAATCGTCATCCAGGGTGATCCAGGCACAGGCAAGACGGTCATGGCTATATATATGATCAAACTACTCATGGACATCAAGACATTTACGTCACTAGAAGATCTGGATAGCGAATTGCGGTTCTCTAATTTCTTTACCGAAAGGAACCAACGGCTACTTCACGATCTCCGCATCGGCCTAGTGGTGCCCCAGCAATCGTTGCGAAAGTCCATCCAGATTGTCTTCGAGAAAACGCCCGGCCTTCAAGAATCAATGGTCATGGACCCTTTCAAAGCTGGAGAAGCAGAAGGAATTTTCGACCTTCTGTTGGTTGATGAAACCCATCGGCTTAATCAGCGTGCCAATCAAGCAGCGGCAAACCTGAACATCAAGTTCGCAACCATCACGAGCGAGCTCTTTGGCAGCGACGATAAGAGCAAGACCCAACTTGATTGGATACGGGCGAAGAGTCGACATCAAATATTCCTCTTAGACGCAGCGCAGAGTGTTCGACCAGCTGATCTGCCCACAGATCTGTTGTCCGGTCTGGTCGCCGACACTCGTGCATCGGGACGGCATTTTCAACTTCGGACTCAGATGCGTGTCAAAGCGGGATCCGATTTCGTGTCTTACGTTCGTTGGATTCTCGATCCTCACCCTCTCTCGTACCCAAGAGTGAGACTGGATTTTGGAGAATATGATTTTCGCTCGTTCGACAGCGTTGCACACATGCGAGAACAAATTTTCCAACGTGACGCTGAAGTAGGGCTTTCGCGGATGGTCGCTGGCTTTGCATGGCCGTGGAAGAGTAGACTGAGAAAGAATAGGAACGAGATCGACATAGAAATTGGCCAGACGCAGCTCCGCTGGAACAGCGCCACCACTGACTGGATTGCGTCTAGCAAAGCGCTCGAGGAAGTAGGGTCAATCCATACGGTCCAAGGTTACGATCTGAACTATGTTGGTGTTATTATTGGTCTTGATCTGCGATTCGACCCTGAGCAGAGGCGCCTTTTCATTGATCGCAACTCGTACTTCGACAAGAAGGGCAAGGAGAACAACCCAGTTCTCGGCAGGAAGTATTCGGATGATGACTTGCTGCGATTCATTACACAGATCTATGCTGTGCTCATGACGCGTGGTATCCGTGGAACGTATGTTTATGCATGCGATCCCGGGTTGAGGGAGTATCTCAAAGTTTTCATCCCTACGCGGTCCTGATACCTCTAGACCCAGGGTTAATTTTCCCTTTCGCTGGTTCCGTTTTAGTCTGCGGACGTGAGCAACTGCTGCTTTAACCTGAGCTGAGGGTGAGCAGAGCCTGAGTATCCTGAGCTCGCCCTGAGTCAGCCTGCGCACTATAATATAGAACCCATTTTGGTCTCCTGTGTGGCCCGGCTACAGTTTCTATACCAAATTTGCCCCGGAATCCGTTTCTGCTCCCTTATAGTTCCTGCGGAAGTAGATTTTGAATCCCTTTTGTGAAAGAGCTCGTATAGTAGTAATTCAGCCTTATAAGTCAGAATACGGGGGGCTGTTTTGACCTCCGTGGCATGACCTCAGTTTGAGTCACGAGACTTTATCACATGATAGTGTGTTTACGGTAAAGAGGTTGTCATTGCATGACATGGTTGAGTAAGTCGGGCATCTTCGTAGCTGTATGGTGGGTAGCTAAGCTGTACAAGTTTCGATAGATTGGATCACAGTTTCCCATACCTTGAGCACATGCCTGTACAGTCTAAGCCGCAAATTTCTGCCCTGTAAACAATGGAGATAGCAGCCACCATGACACAAATTGGATAACTTTTTGCAAACGATTAAAATGACTGGTCGTTCTAGAAGGAACTTGGCCACGAACCAACTGGGACGATCCCTTGCCATTTCTACCACGAAGCTTACTGGTATCTCAGTAGTCACATGGAGATTAGGCGGGTAGATTAAGAGCCTTCCTTACATAATGTTGTGTCTTAATAATTTGCAGTAGATAAGCATTGGCTGAGCAGCAAAGGAAACTCTGATACATATTGACAACCCCACTGCCTGGTTTACCGATATATAGACTTAACAGACACTTTAAAATGGCAGCCGAGTCCGACTCTTTCGCTGACCCGAGTTGGACGTATTTCTCAGCCGAGAACGATAGCTTCATCAGGACAACCCAGCACTGCCCCGAACGGCCGTATGTATCAGTGACCATCATCTCCAGCCAGAATTTGAGCGTTCGGCGTATCGACTTCACAACTATCTCACACGATCAAGGATTCAGCGACAAGGCGGACCAAAACGGTGACATTTACGCTGGTTCCCACACATGGTTCGACGCACGTATCATAACACACTCAGGCCATGATCGTGTGCCTCGCCGACGCATCCAGACCAACGTGTGCGCGAGCTTCGAGTTCAAGACCCATATCAACCGTTGGGATTGGAGAAAAGGTGACGCAGGGGTACGGGAATGGCTGGCAGCTATTCAGACCGGCGATACTGTCCAGGTCATCCCCATGGCTCATTATCCTGCTTGGAACAACTTTGTGCGAGGGGCTAAAATCCAACTATGGGCGGCTCCTTCGACGGCAGGCAAGGCGCTGCGTCCAGTGATCTCATTGGTCGAACAGAATGACTATAGCGCATACCGTCCATTGCGACATGACCTGAGGGAGATTCGACTTGTCGAGGTCCAGCCGGATAAAAATGCAGGGCCAATCCGCATAGTGCTGCGGTATACGTCCTTATCAGATGATGATAGGCTGAGATATGACGCGCTCTCCTATTGCTGGGGCGATGCGGAGGATCTGCAAGAGGTACTGTTGACGACTCCAGACCACTCGCAACCAAAGGCGATGTTTGTGAATAGAAACTTGCTCTCCGCCTTACAGCAGCTAAGATCGCAGACTGCGCCAAGGACACTATGGATTGACCTGCTTTGCATCAACCAGACAGACATGAAGGAACGTACCTTCCAAGTGGCCCTGATGGGGGAAATTTTCGCATCCGCAGAAACTGTCTGCGTCTGGCTTGGGGAAAGTGACCCGGACGGACGTCGAGATTGCCAAATCATACGCTCCATATCTGATCGATACGATCAGACATTGGGCGGACTCGGTGGCGAAGGGCTAGTTGGTGATCCAAAAGACTGGACGGCACTCCCGAAACCACACCTCACGCACGAGATTATACGCAACGGCCCAGACGGCTGGGGTATCGACTTACAAAATGACCGAGTATT